ATTTTCAGCTGATTTGAATTCAGCGAGCTGAAGTTTGGCATCATCTTTGCTAAAATTGTTCCAGTCTGATAATTTAATTAATCAACATTGATGCAGAGTGTCTGAAATAATGTGTGCATTCATTTGCATAATGGCTGTAATTGGCAAAGCCTCATACTGTAAGTGTGGCAGTTCTGCAAATGACAGTAAGATAGACTGTTTTCTTGTAGCCAGCCAGCAGCACACACATCATCCTCTGTTATTTCCTCTTCCGCACAGGAAAATGTGACAGCTAGATGTAGTGGCCAAGGGACAAGATGACTAATTGATTTTTGATGGTTCTTGACACAGATATATATTCTACATGACTGTGTTGCTATGGCAAGCTAAAAAGGTTTTAATCAGATCTTAGAGCAGAGCTCCCGCATCTGAATGGGAACAAACATTTTACGAGTAATAGGATCTTCGGCCCAGCTGTAGAGAGCAGTTCCTTGAGCCAGATCTAGTAATTTCACTGTCACATGTTTGCATCTGTAGCTTCACAGCAGCCAGCAAGCATCCAAGCTGTGGTTGCAAAGAAAATTAACTACTGCCATTCAGTTTCAGAGAGGCCCTTGATGTGGTATCAACCCACTGTGAATCAATTCAGTGAATTTAGAGTAATGTTGTGCTTCAAGATTCTCCAGAGTATATTTAATTTACCTATAAGACAGGCTGTTATTTTAAATAAATACTTGACTGTTATAAGCATTAATTGAGAATTAATGACTATTCAGCAAATGCAACGGGTAATAATCTTTAAATAACTTTTAAATAGTCAATTGGCTTTTCTTTAACTACCTTTACGGTATTCATTGCTTTGCAATTAGCGAGACAGTTACTGATTGTTAAATACCAGTTGAAACGACATGTCCTGAGGAGGAATGTCCTAGATACTAGTCTCCTGTGTGTTGGCTTGAGCTGGTTGGGAATTTTTTGATGGAACTGGTTTTCCCTGGCAAGTGCCAATTTGTTGAAACCAAAATGTTTAATAAAAAAAAACCCACTGGTGTTGACAACCTGTTGATGAAGCAGCTCAACTGGTACACTGCTGGGGAGCCCAGGCTGCCAGGGTCCAGTTCCCCAGGGAACCTCACCATACAGATTGCTGCAGGGCCGGAGCTCTAGCCATGAGACAACTCCACAGCAGAGGGGCTAGGAGCTCTGAGAATCCCAGCTTATGCAGGGACTCTTGGGACTTCCATGCTTGCTGCTAAGGAGCCAGAAGCCTTTACAGTTGCCAAGTTTTGAGACTCCCAGCTTAGCTTTGGCTGCAGGGTATCAAGGTCTCCAGCTCCCTGTCAGCCTGCTTGGGCTTGCTTGGAGTCCCCCGGATTGGACGCCCAGGCTTGGTCTCGTTTCTCAAGACATTTTGGTTGTTTCTAAACAATTTTTAGTTTGCATTCTCTTCTGTGGTAAATGTTAACATTTCTGCTTTTTCTTCTGAACCCAAACTCATTGTTTCCGAATTTCTTGTGGAACACACATTCCATGTTTGTACCAACCTTAGTCACAATCCACAGGGTTTTACCGAACATAGAATGGTGTTTGGAAACGAAACACCTGAACATGTCTGTAGTCTCTTTGTTTGGACTGTGCTTCTAACAGCGAGGCCTTAATCTATGACCAGGGCTCCTAGGCACTACAAAATTATTATTAATAATAATACTGACTGGAATAACTGCAAATAATTTTTGGTGAAATTAAGAATTCTTTGTTAATTGCTCAAAGAAGTCCAAAACATTGCTCATTTTCGAGTGTTTGCAATCATGACTCCGTAATTAGTAGAGACATTTGGAAGCTATTGGCTGCTCTTGTGATTTAGCTTTAAGAGCAACATGGACGGACCATTGTGAACTCATGAGGAACCTTGCCTTAGGCAGAGGGGACAAAACAGGAGATTGAGATGAAGCCTATTTCAGTTTGAGAAAAGTCATTTTTGTCCTGCCCCACCAGGAACGTCCTTTGGTTTGTGCCAAGAATAAAGCCAACATAAGAACGGCCATAGCTCCATCTATAGCCCAATAGCGTGTCTTCCAACAGTGGCCAATGCCAGATACCCCAGAGGGAGTAAACAGAACAAGTGATCTCTCTCCTATCATCCATTTCTAGCCCCTGACAAACAGAGTCCAGAAACACCATTTCTATCTATCCAGGCTAATAGCCATTCATGGACCTAACTTCCATGAATTTATCTACTTATTTTTTGAACCCTGTTAAAGTCTGGTCTTCACAACATCCTCTGGAAAAGAGTTCCACAGGCTGACTGTGCGCTGCATGGAGAAAAACTTATTTTTGTCTGCTTTAAACCTGCTATCTATTCATTTCATTTAGTGACTTCTAGTTTATATAGAGGCAATGAGATATTCTGTCTTATTCTCTATCCGTTTTCTAATGATCCCTAACATTCTGTTTGTTTCTTTGACTTCCACTACACACTGTGGATGTTTTCAGAGAACTAGCCACAATGTCTCCACGATCTCACTCTGGAGTAGTTGTAGCTAAATTAGTCTCCATCATTTTGTATGTATAGTAGGATTTTTTTTCCAACATGCATTACTTTACATTTACCAATATTAAATTTCATATGCCATCTTGACGCCCAATCACTTAGTTTTGTGAGATCTTTTTGAAGCTCTTCACTGTCTGATTTGGTCTTAACTAGCTTGAGCAGTTTAGTGTCATCTGCAAATTTTGCCAACTTACTGTTTACCCCTTTCTCTAGATCATTTATAAATAAGTTGAATAGATTGGTCCCAGTACAGACCCTTGGGGGACACCACTAGTTACCTCTCTCCATTCTGAAAACTTACCATTTATTCCTACCTTTTGTTTCCTGTCTTTTAACCAGTTATCAATCCATGAGAGGCCCTTCCCTCTTATCCCATGACAACTTACTTTACTTAAGAGCCTTTGGTGAGGGACCTTGTCAAAGGCTTTCTGAAAATCTAAGTACACTATCCACTGGATCTCCTTTGTCCACATGCTTATTGACCCCCTCCAAAATCTCTAGTACAGGCAGTCCCCAGGTTACATGGATCCGACTTACATCAGATCCCTACTTACAAACGGGGTGAGGTAACCCCGCACTAGCTGCTTCCCCCCAGCAGACCAGGGAGACGCGGAGCGGCTTTTCTCAGACACACCTCAGCTTGAGAATAAAGGACTGAGGGAAGTGAGGTGTGGGAGAATAAAACTGAGCTCTGGAGAAATGTTTGGCTAGAGTTTCCCCTACAATATGTACCAGTTCCGACTTACATACAAATTCAACTTAAGAACAAACCTACAGTCCCTATGTTGTACGTAACCCGGGGACTGCCTGTAGATTAATAAGGCATCATTTCCCTTTACAAAAACCATGCTAACTTTTCCTCAACAAATGATGTTCATCTATGTATCTGACAATTTTATTCTTTACTGTCAATTCAACTCATTTGCCCAGTACTGATATTAGATTTACCAGTCTGTAAGTGCCAGGATCACCTCTAGAGCGCCATGATGACCTTATCATCTTTGAGTGCTCGTTTAGCATCTCAATTTGTCCAGGGGCCCCACTGGTTGTTTAGCAGGCTTCATGCTTCTGATGTACTTAAAAACATTTTGTTATTACTTTTTGAGCAAGTACTCTTTGAGCTATGTAAGTTCTACTGATTTGGGGACAGACCCACCATTCCCACCAAAGATCTTCGGGCAACCCCTCCCACTTGGACAGATGAACTGAGGGGAACCAATCCAAAACCCACTCTAGGCCTTCCCACTCATTAAATCCTTTTAATCCCATTCCTTCCCAATAATGTAATCCTCCTGACCTGTTGCTAAATCTCTTGTCGCCCCCTGAATTCCAAGCATGCTACTTATCAAGCGTCCCACACCAGGAATGGTTATGCTACTTACACAGCTGTTTTAAAAGGATACACACCTGTGTCTTCACAAAGGGCCTTGTCCTTAAAGCCAACTCCGATCTCAGGTTCTTTCACCCTAAAGAGTCCACAGCAGCTGAAAACTAAAGGTAGTTGAAAGGTGAAAATTAACATTTTGGTGAATTTTTTCCACCTGACTCTATTTAAAAGTGATAAAATCAATTCTCCTATGAACTGTAGCCACCCTGGAGTAAAACATGATGTTTGTATCAAAGCCCACTGCAACACAACAACTTAGAACAAGACGTGAAAAAAAAAAAACCAGTGTCCAACTGTAACTTCAGGGGAAGTTTAGGCCACATTGTAAATTAAAAAGGCAGCATCTAAAGTAGCACAGGGCTCCCAAAGTTTTCATAGAGCATTGCTCCACTACTCATAGGAACCAACATTTATAAATGCCCGGGCAAGTGCTTGACCACTGGCTCTGCCCCAAGTCCCAACTCAACCTTTTCTCCCCGAGACCCCACCTCTCCCCTCCCCTCCTCTGCCTCTTCCCGCTCAGTTCCACCCCTCTTCTGAGTGCACGGCATCCTCGCTCCTTCCCCCCAGGGCCTCTTGAATGCTGCAAAACAGCTAATTGCAGGGGGTGGGAAGGGAGGAGAAGGGGCTGACTGGTGGACGGGCGCTGGGAATGAGCAATCCTGGACTGCTTTGGATGATGCTCAGCACCCAACGATTTTTCCCCAGCAGTGCTGTAGCCCCAGTGCACCCCTAGAGTCAGCACCTTTGCCAACACAGATGGGGAAGGAAGGGTGTCATCTATTGACTTCATTAACAAAGTCACCTATGGTGGGTCTGGGAAGTCTCCCTTTTAAGTAATGATCAGCCTTGACCCTGTACGGCTCTTGGAGGTGACAAGACTATATCTGACACGGTTTAGCTATAGCTTCAGGTAGGTGCCGGTGATCTAGTGCCTGAGGCAAACCAAATTAGCTTGCAGAGCTTCTGGTTTGCATCTGCAACCTGTCTTCTATGGTGGGTCCCTTGTGAGGGGCCTACTCTAAAAACATGGTCATGCCATTTGATTTGTGTCTGATGTGGCCTTTTCTTTGGTTTTCAAAGGTACCGTGTCGTGGTTCCGTATCCTCCTCAGAGCGAAGCAGAGATTGAACTGAAAGAAGGCGACGTTGTGTTTGTGCACAAGAAAAGAGAGGATGGCTGGTACAAGGGGACATTACAGCGAAATGGCAGGACGGGCCTCTTCCCCGGAAGCTTTGTAGAGAGCTTCTGAGGGCTTGTTTTCTTCCCCATCACTGCTCTCTGAACCGAAAGATCTTTCAGGGGAAATTCCATAGCACAAGAAGAGACAGCAAAGGGAAATGTGACTGGGATAGCCACTGCCATTTTTATGTCCAAAGACTCCCCAGGCCCTTCATTTGACAGCTCTGGAAACACAGTACCTGCTGTGCTTCCGAACCCATGTACAGTACATACAGTGGTATGTTGAAGTAGTGCCTTCCACTTGGAATCACAGACTGAGAGGATGCACATTTGGTTTGTATCTAAACTAAACTCCAACGATTACCCTTTATGTAAATTACAGAGAAAATATCTTTTAAAAAGTTGTTATATTGCTGTAACTTATGTGTCAGAGCTGCAGTGTTCTTGTTACTGGCCTATGCAAGATGAATTGGAGTGAGGCAAGAGGCAGAGTAGGGAGCTCTTGATCTGGGATTTTATTTTTCCAGAGGGAAAAGGGGAGAATATGGAAAAACCTAGCTAAAGATTTGAGCATTGTTGTGCAAGAAGGAATTAGGAGTCCAAAATATTAGTATCATGCTTTCTATATACCTCAAATTACGCTGCATCAAGATGCCACTAAGCATGTTAGTGATCAGAGTTGCATTTCATGAGGCACACCAGTGAGATGCACACAGCGGATCCTTGAGGAACCATGGTTCCATCATTACATTGTGGGTTATCCCCATGGTTTATCGTCTGTCCGTATTATGTGCAGCATTGTTCCAGCATCCAACTTTCCATTGCTTTTCTTTTTTTTGGTATGACATACCTTTTTTAATTATTGGCTATGTTGTTGCAGCTGCGTTGGTCCCAGTGACAAGATGAGTGAAGTAGGACCAGCTGTTTGGTCCAATAAAAGATATTACCTCACCCACCTTGTCTTTCTAATTAATACATTTTAATGTAAGTACTGTTATGCATTATATAATTCCTAATAGATCAGTCATTTCTTGTTTTCAATGCATCTGATGCTTTTATTATAATCATTTTATTCTTAGGAAGGTCCTGTTTGGCTTACAAGAGGGACTGTTAACATCAACAGGTTTCACATTTAACATGTGACTCCTGAAATGTTTTGGGAGTAGATTTTGTGAAGATGAAGATGTTTGCTAGTACTACAAGAGAGAAAAATCAGATTAGGCGGTGCTATAAGTGTGCCTGTGCGCACATCGCATGCGTGTTTTGTGTGTATGCAACTCACTCTTTCTTAATATATAGTTTCTAAAGAACCTGAATAAAGCACAGTACTCTGTCTAGAGAATGATAACGTTTCAAGAATTGGGAGCATTTCCAGGAGGAGTAATTTTAATTGACTCTTATATGGCAATAAAAAGAACACTGCAGGTTCCAGCAAGCACAGAAATAGTTGACTTTTTCTCTGCCATTGTATTAGAAAGAAGGGAGTTGAACTGCAATGGCTGTAATTAGCATTGTCAAAATGTGATTTTTTTTTAACTGTAGAAATGTACAGTTCTCAACACTGTTCTAACCTGCTCAAGCTACAATACAAAATATATCAGGCAATATACCCCGCCATCTGCCAGGGACCTACCAGTGCAATAAATGTAAAGCAAGTTTATGCAGTTATTTGTATCAAACAAAGAAGAGAAAAATTCAATAATGCAAGGGTGGGAGTATTTGAAAAAAGAGATTCAATTGTGGCATCCCATAACCAAGTTGTAACAAAAGAATATTTGTAACTATGTCCGTACCCTGCCTTTCCTAATGACGGGCTGCTTGTACAGACAAAGGCATGGGTTCATTCATGAATATGTGAGAGTTGCAGCAACCTGCATATGATCTTAGTAAAAAGAAGAGGCCCAGTGGAGGGTGTTTGACATTATTTTATTCCCACTATTTCTTATGCTGAGGATGCAGGTTTTGTTTTCATTCAAGCCATGTATGCTAGCACATATCAGAACATGTTTAATTGAACATTCCTACTTAGGTTGAGCTGAATGACTTTGTTCACGTTAAAAATAGGTTTCTCTTCCTCTTGTTCATGATTCCAGAAACATGGTCTGTGGCCAAACTGCACCTTCAAATCATAGAGACATTATTTCGGAGGAGGGGGCAATTTTAACATTTGTTCATGTTCCAGGTTGTAATAAGTCGTAAGTCATCAGTAAAATAAATGGTTATTGTTAAGAGGAAATTGCCAACAAACCAATAAGAGCTTTAAGCCATTTCTTTGGCAAAAGGCTGATTTACAAATACAGCACTACCTATCCAGTCATTTCATCCAAATCAGAAACCACGATCTACCAAGGTGACAGTGCTTCCCCAAAACATGTTATATACAAATCCATATGTATAAAAATTCTCAGCATTGTCCGAACTAGATTTTTCTGACAAGCTATAATGGCTAAATATCTGTTAAAATCCTGTTTCACAGTATATTTACTGTACTATATCCAGAGAAATGAGACAGGAATCACATTGTATTCAGTCAGATCTAAAATAGGTCCAGATTTCAACATTCTAAGGTTTAAATTGAACAGGACAAAAGCTGTTACGTAGGACAATACAGAAGTGTCCATGTAAAGTCAGTGTTTTTAAATGTATTTTTCAGTCAGGACAATAATGATTTTTAAAAATAGATGACAGAGGGCAAAATAGCCCTTTTAGTTACACCTCCTGTGAGGCACAATATTTTTTGGTGTTTAATATTTTGAAAACAGCTGTTTCTGGCTCCAGTTTGTTGCTTTCCATAATAGTTTTAGTTACTGAATAATTTTCTTGAAGAAATCAATTGAAAAGAGCAAAACTGCAGAACATAAGACTGATTGATGATGCAAGAAAATGACCCAGTGCCATTTAGGAAGTTCTTGACTATGGGAGAGGATTGGCTCTTACTGTGATCCATTTTTAAAATAGATACAAAGGAAAGAATGTCAGAGGGAGTGTGCGTGCATTTCCTACAAGAGGAAAAAAAGCAAAAGAATCCTTCTGGCAGCCTCATTTTGTAAAATGCCAGATTTACGGTTCTAGAAATGGTTTCTGCTAATTGAACAATTCCTTTGTATTTTGCACAGCTCAGAAAATGTTTTTGTTATACATGAATGTTAACGTGATTTAGGAAATATTGATGGTGATGAGTACAAATGAACTACAAGGACCGTGTTTCTGATGCTTTAAATAAAATAAACATTAAATCATGTGTGTGAATTTTCCATCTTTATTTAGATGTTCAAGAGATTAAACAAAACAGGTGTCCTGAGGTTCACAACAAAGATAGTCATAGGACTCCAAATCCTCAAAGATATTTAGATTCCAAACTTTCATTTCTGTAATGATCTGGGCCAAGGTGACTTTGAAAAAAGGGTTGAAAGCAGAGAAATGTCAGGAAATGCTACAAAGGAAGCAGTATTTTCACATAAAGAACTTTATTCTGCCAACCCTACTGCACTGAGTAGTATTTGTACAAACAGAGTCACTGAATCCCAATGTACTCAAATGGAGCTACTCTTGTGAATAAATACTATTTGATGTAAAAGCTGCAGAAGGGAGCCTTAGTGTAATTATATGTATTAGAGCACAGAATATGATTTTAATACAGGTGTCAATTGATCACAATTAATTCACATGACTGACAAACAATTAATCACAATTAAAAATAATTGTGATTAATCACACTTTTAACAATAGAATAGCAGTTGCAATTTATTAAATACTAGAAGAAATACCTGACGTTGTGCAGAGAAAATATAGTAAAAGGTGTGATAAATAAACTACGCCAATTACATTAACATAGCATATTTTATTGGAGATACTTTAAGAAATTAACATAGCTAGTGATGTGCTTACAAAACGCATTTACATTTAACTCATGTCTTGATAACAAAAGGTGTGGTGAATGAACTATGTAAATTACTTTAACATAACATTTTATAGGAAAAACTTTTCCTTTTATCATAGGGAAGGGATCTCATGGTTGCAGTTTGTGACACACTTAACGGAAGAGTCCAGCAAATGCCTATGATCAAGCACTACTAAAAGCTAACTATCAGTGGGCCCAATTGGGGCTCTGGGGGAACTGATTTCGAGATATAACCAATCCAGTTATTTAAGTTAGGAAATCAGTAGTACCCGTTCAAAATTTTGTGTTTCTATCTCTTACCGTCTTGGAGATCTTTTGGGGCAAACAAACTTTTGAAAATATTTATAAGAAGATTTGTGGATGTTTTTCTAACCATTTCAACATTGATTTCAATTTCAACACACTACAGTGTACAGTGCTCACTTTGTTATTTTATTGCAAATATTTCCACTGTAAAAATGATAAAGAAATAGTATTTTTCAAGTCACCTCATACAAGTACCGAAGTGCAATCTCTTTATTGCAGAAGTGCATCTTAATGTCAATTTTTTGGTTACATAACGGCACTGTAAAATTTTAGCACAGGAGTGGGGAAGCAGGGGGCCCACGGCCCCCCCCCCCCCCCCCCCGATGTACAAGGGGAATTTGAGAGTGTCTTTCTCCTCAGTTGGAGGCCACATCAGTGAGGGTTTGATTTGGTTTATTTGCTTCTCATTTGTCTGCTGCCCCCGACTGATTTTTCTGTGAGTGGGCAGCCCCCGGGCCAAAAAAAGGTTCCCTACCCCTGCTTTAGCATCTACAAGTCTACTAAGTCCTACCTTTTTGTTTTGCCTATCACTATGACACCAAGGTTGTTTACATAATGGCTGCGTCTACATCGGCATGATCTTGCGCCAAAGCGGCCGCTTTTGCACAAAAACATGCTGCCTGTCTACACTGGCGGGGAGTTCTTGCGCAAGAACACTGACGTTCTAATGTGTGAAATCAGGGCTTCTTGAGCAAGAACTATGATGCTCCCGCTCAGGAATAAGCCCTCTTGCGCAACTGTTCTTGCACAAGAGGCCAGTGTAGACAGGCAACATGAATTTCTTGCGCAAGAAAACCTGATGGCTAAAATGGCCATCAGAGCTTTCTTGCACAAGAGAGCGTCTACACTGGCACCGATGCTCATGTGCAAAAGCACATCTCTTGCACAAAGGCACATGCCACTGTAGATGCTCTCTTATGCAAATACTTTAACACAAGAATTCTTGCATTAAAGAGTATTTGTGCAAGATCATGCCAATGTAGACACAGCCAATGGTTGCCTGATTTATACATGGGGAAAAAAGCAGGAACAGGAGCCATTTTGTAATAACCAAGAACCCTTACCAGTGTCATGGGACTCTGAGTGCATAGCCACTACTAATGCTGAGGGTAGGAAGGGCAGAATGATGACATTGCTGAACAGCAGTTATATTAGGGTTCTGATAAGTATTCCCTGTAAGCCAAGCACTTGAGTGGCTATCCAGAAGAGATTCAAATGCCACCCAGTTGATTAGCAGAGCACCCACAGAAGCCCACACAGCTGGCAGCATGTGTTTCTATTGGTGGTGCACATCCACACATGCCTCAGGGCACATAAAAGTCATTCCACACATGCACATAAAAAATTAAAGGGAACATTGATTCTGTTCTAACCTCACATGACTTGGGATCCCTGTTCAGAGTGGGTGGTGAAGAATAAATGCTTGCTCTCTGTAGGGCCACGCTTGGGCACAGTTAGCATTTCAGTGCTAGAAAAGGGAGGCAGCAGGTGAGTTAGGCAAAAAATGGCTGCTTCAGTTTTCTGGCTGTTCCAAAGAAATGAAAAAAGTTTCATTTCAGGTCAAACTGAAAATTAAATGTTGCTGGATGAAAGTTTTTGGCAAATGAAAGGAGTTCAAGATGGGTCAAAACGAGATGTTTCATGTCAGCCCAACTTGAAATGTCTGGATTTTGACAACAGCAAAGGCAAACTGGATTCCCAAAAGAGGAGGAAGTATCATCTCCTCTACAAGCTTTGACCCAGTGCTTATGGCATTCTTCTGCAACATGAGAGACTAAGGTTCAATGTCTCCCTCTAGCCTGAGGTGACAAACAGATTTCAGTATGAATCCATTGCAGCAGCATGCTTTAACCACTAGGCTATTGTCCCAACCTCTGCTGCTGAAGATGGGCCACAATGTTAGCCAATTGTTAGAGCAGGACTTCAACATCGGTCTCATACCTTCTAGGTGAGCAGCTAAGCCACACTGAGCTGGAGTCCCTTCTATGTGCTCCCTGACATCAGTTGTTATCCACAGTGGCAATTCGTGGTCATTCAGAGACAATGAAGACAGATTGGCACAGAGGGGAAGCAGTATGGAGGTTAGATACTCATTTAGGCTGTAGATTAGAAGATCCAAATTCAAGCTCTGCAGAAGGGGAAAATTGAACCCAGCCACCCATATTCTGGGTTGAACCCTCTAACCAGTCAGCTCAATATTAAAGTGCAGGTGGCATCTCTTCGGGCCATTTTGTGAATCCAATTTCCCTTTTAACCAAAGCAAATGGCTTGAAAGCAAAACAAAATGTTTCCTCTTGATGTTCCGTAAATATTTTCAGTTTGGTGTAAATTATTTGGTGATCGCCACAGAAATTGAAAGATCATTTGAATTGATGCGAAACTACCTTTTCTGGTAAAATAAGCTTCTGTCCAAAAAAAAAAAAAAATCACCTTACTTTAGGCTGCAGTGATTTTGAGGGGGATGGGGAAAGAGCGGAGTCCAGCGCTTGAGTGGAAGGGCGGGGAAAAATCCCTGAGAAAAAGTAGTCAAAGTTCCCCTTCACAGAAGACCTGAAGGGACTCACAGGAGGGAAGGCAGCTTCAACATCAGGGATGGGCAATAATTTTAGAAAGGGGGGAGGCACTTCACAAATTTTTGAAGGGGCCCTGGGCTGTCCTGGAAGGGGCAGGGCCTTGGGCAGAAGGGATGGAGCCAGGACACTTCCATGCTGCCACGCCCACAGACCCTGATTGGCCTGTGGGTGGGGGAGCAAGCAAAGGCTTTGACCCCTGCCCGCATCCCTGAGAGAACTGCCAGCTGAACAGCTGGAGATTCACGCTTAGCGCCTCAGGCCCCTGGCGAGGAAGGAGACGTGGTGCACTCCCCCAGGGTGAGGAAGCAGCAGAGCATCTGTGGGCTGGTCAACCTACTTGCCAGGCCAGATCTTGCCTGCAGAGTTTCTCTTGCCCACCCCTGTTCTACATCTTGCTTTTTATCCATTTTACCTCATCTCCTGGGGTTGTAGGAAAAAGATGCTGATGCAGCTTCTCAGAAGTAGGAGTCCTTCCTGGACAAGTCAACACCATGGAATTTAGAGCCAAATTTAAAAAACAAAAAACAAAAAAAGGAAAAGATAACTGGAGACAAAAGGTTGCCAGTTTCCCAGCTGAGAAAGGTCTTGCCACCCACAGGAGCGATGAAAGCAGAAGGGACTGGCCGCTTCTTCACTGGGCCTTATGCCAGTGACACATAGGTGCAGTTCTCCCCAGGGAGCTGAAAGACATGGTTAGGAGCCCAGAGTTAGTTTTCATGAACTGGTATCTTTGTTGGCAGGATGGGTATGAAAGTGTGTTACACCTTCCTTCCTATAGGGGATTCCTCCAGTAGAGGAAATGGTGGCTTGGCTATTTTTTCTGGTATTCACAGGAAGAGACTGAGGCCAGGAAATAGTTTTATCCAGTGGTTCTGTTCTTCCACTGTAGCGTGCTTATGGCTCATCTACACAACCACTTAGTTCCTGATAAGTTGTGGTACAAAGCTACTCCAAATTAGTCAGCCACACACATAGTGTCCATGTGGCCACTGTGGCTACACACTGACCGGTCCCCAGTGCACTTCTGGATCTCCTGTGCTTTGAAAAGGGAGCAGCTCAGAGCACACCAAGAAACACATTGGCTACATCTACATTGGCATGATCTTGTACAAATACTCTAATGCAAGAGTTCTTGCATTCGAGTATTTGTGCAAGAGAGTGTCTACATTGGTATGTGCCTTTGTACAAGAGATGTGCTTTTGTGCAAAAGCATCCGTGCCAGTGTAAACGCTCTCTTGCGCAAGAAAGCTCCAATGGCCATTTTAGCCATCAGGCTTTCTTGCGCAAAAATTCATGTTGCCTGTCTACACTGGCCTCTTGCGCAAGAACAGTTGCACAAGAGGGCGTATTCCTGAGCGGGAGCATCATAGTTCTTGCACGAGAAGCACTGATTTCACACATTAGAACGTCAGTGTTCTTGCGCAAGAACTCCCTGCCAGTGTAGACAGGCAGCATGCTT